CTTCTATGACATCCTCCCTCTTACAGCTCTAGTCTAAATTGTTGACTGTACCTTCCAGAACAGCATGCTGTTTTTCTTCTTATCACGTATTACATTTGAGGCCCAACTGAGATATGTTGGTACCCTGGGCTAGCTAACAACCTGCCATTCTTTAGATCAATATTCTTTAAATACTTAGCTGGGCTGAGGTGTGTCCTCATTTCATATCCTTTTGTTGTTAGTCAAGCATATCCATGTGGAAGTTTTACCCCACATTCCCAAACCCTAACCACACCTTCCGAGCAACACAGTAAAAACATTTCTCCCAACCATATATAGCACCCTCTGTGAAAATACTGTTGTCAAATACCACTTTCTCTATCTGCAATTATAATTAAACTCTGTCCTGGGAAAATCCATGGCTAGTCTACGTTTTCAACCAATTCTGTCTACAATTACCAGTTATTTGTATAATTTTCTATTTTATGTTGATATCTGCTAATAGACTATAAACATTCAGATAGAAAAGGCATCTGTTTTGTTCAACATTGTATCCCTGGTGCCAAAAAAATGCCTAATACATGATAGACGCTCAGTAAGTGCTTGAATAACAAATTATTCAACCCATAAGCTATATTATTTTAGACATGAATGTGTCTATCAAAAGTCCTTTGTATAATGTGACATAGAGAATTTACTTCTCTACCAGAGACCAGATATGTTATACCAACCTTAAAAATTATTAGCCAGTATAATCAGTGACATTTATTGGCGTTAGTTTTCTATTTTCATTATCAGCATTTTGAAAACTCAACTCCTTTGCCGTATTTTCTTTTGCTCATCCATACCAAATACACAAGTCCTAAGTGGGAATGGAAATAGGGGATCCCTGTATCTCTCAGGCATTTCATTGCTGGCCTAATGCCCAACTGCATATGTGCAAAATAAAGACTTAAGGAACTACCGAAATACCCTTTCCTTTATTCATTTTGGGAGGTAGGCAGACTTCCTCCACTGGACACTTTTACCATCATCTAGTTAATCAGTTAAACAATAAAAAACTTATAAAATACTGCAGCAATATTTGTAGAATGTGGCGATTATAAAAACTTAATATCAACTAATAAAAACAGAAAATATGGGGTGTTTCCAGACAATTTCTCGTCCTAAACTCTCATCCCTTATAATCTGTTGTAGTAAAAACTTTGAGAGGCATTTCTGTACCAACTTCTCGGGAGCACTTTTTCATTTTAAAATTCAGGAAGTTTTTATTTCCCCCAACTTCCTGTTTTTACAAAATAGAGAGAAACATTCTGAACATTGCTCTGTGTGTTTGAGAGGGGAGATAATAATTATAAATAACTGCACACATGTATGGGTGGCTGAGTAATGCTAGACATTTATACAGAAGCTCTTGCTTAATCTTTCTAAGAATCTTCAAGGATCGATCATGTTTTTAATCCCATTTTATCACTAAAGAAAAGAAAGATTAGTGAGACTAAACAACTTTCCTAAATCCAAAGCTGTAAAGGAGAGACCCAGAATTCTAACTCATGCCTTCTTGATTCCAAATCCCACGCACCTAATGCCCACATCACAGTCCAGTGTGTTTATGGCTATATATTCATTTTTTATATAAGAAAACTTTTGAGTAAACAACACTAAATATAACTAACAAATATACTCATGTAGAGAACAAATTACAGCCTGAGTTTTAATAAAGTTTTTCTGCAAAGATATATTTTCCAGAAAATTAAATTTTTGCATTTTGGCAATATGCTTTATAATTCACTTTAAATAAAAATACTCTCACCCGTAAAAAATGATAATGATAAATAAAAGAGATATCTTTTTTTTCCTTCATTAGTGCACCAAAATTATAAAGAAGTCATGAACAATGTTAAAATCAATCAATTTCAGAATAAAAGCAATATTTCCTTTAAGTGGTATCAGACAAAGAATGGATTCTATGTTCTATGGTATACATATACACACAGATCTATAATAATAAAAGTGTAATATGCTAAATAGACTGGACATCTTTCTGGAGGAAGCCAGGGCTGTGAAGGAAGCCCGGGTCCCATGTGCCTGCTGGTGACCAGAGGGAGGCCTGGATCCCAGGTACCGGAGGGAAGCCGGTGCCAGCAGCCAGGGGAAGGAAGGCCTACTCTTGCATGAATTTCATGCATCAGCCTCTAGTATAAAATAATGTAACATGCAAGATTATATTTTTGTCATTTTCTAATGCCTATTTCTTAAAAAATATATATAAAAATATCTATAATTACTGTGCTGTACACCTGAAACTAATACAAAATAATATTGACTGTAACTTTAATTTTCAAAAATAAAAACAACAGAAGGAATTGGACAGTTTTAATAGATATGGAATAAGTTGGGAGAAAATAAAGTCCAAAATACAATGTGGAAAAATCTATAATTATAAAAGACCAGAGGACTGGTGTACAAAATCCGTGCACTGTAGAGGAGGGTCTGTCAGCCTGGCCTGTGCCCTCTTGCAGTCTGGGACCCCTTGGGGGATGTCTAGGACCCCTCGCTCCTTACCACCCACCTGCTCGCTGCTCCTTAGCAGAGGCAGGAGAGGCTCCTGCCAACGCCGCTGCACTTGCCAGCCGTGAGCCTGGCTTCTGGATGAGCGGCGCTCCCCATGGGAAAGCACTGACCACCAGGGGGCAGCTCCTGAGTTGAGTGTCTGCACCCTGGTGGTTAGTGCACATCATAGCAACCGGTCATCCTGGTTGCTCCACCATAACAGTTGCTTAGGCTTTTATTATATGGACCAGTAGCCCTGCACACGAATCTGTGCGGCAGTAGGTCGCTGACGCCCTCCTGTAGCTCTCCGCCCACTGGCCCGCCCTCCTGTAGCTCCCCCTGCCCCCCCATAGCTTGTTGCCCTGCCCTCTCCTGTAGCTCTCTGCTTTCCGCTTGCTTGCTGCCCGGCCCCCTCCTGTAGCTCTCTGCTGCCCACTTATAGCCAGTAGGTCACTGCCGCCCTCCTGTAGCTCTCCGCTCCTTCCCTGCCCTCCTGTAGCTCCCCCCAAGCCCCCCTCATAGCTTGCTGCCCTGCCCCCTTCTACAGCTCTCCGCAGCCCACTTGTACCTGGCTGGCCCACCCTTCGCTGATCTGTGATCTGGTCGTGACACGCTTGGTCGTTACACCTCGCGTAATGGCTAATTAGCATATTCCTCTCTTATTATATAGGGTAATAAATACCTGATGTGTCATCAGTTATGTTATTTAAATCTATTAGCTCATTTTGTTCAAAAGTATAAGTAATATCAAAGAGGGTTCAGCTTAACTAAAATCCATAAAAAGGCTCCCTACTCACTCCTTTTCTTCTAGCTATTCATGAAGAGGATGGTGGAACTAGTTCCTGGCCTTTGCCCATAAAAGCACAAAAAGGAAATTGTCAGTAAGTATAGTATACTTCTCAAGATCGCAACCTAAAATCTCTGATTGCTATGAGTCATGAGATTTTTCACTTGGCAAAACTTGGAAGGTAAAATGTATTTCATGTGCTACGAAAAAAGTCATAGCACTACTCATGAACACTAATTTGCCAAAAGTGAATGCACAGCTCTGTAGTATATGTTTGCAAAAATTTCTCTAAGTACACAATCCAATGTTATTCCTACGCATTGAAGCTGGCCTTACATAACAGCCTAAATATCCAGGTTTACTAGCATTTATGAGAAGGCAATGTTTTATGTATTCATCAATCATCTTTTAATTATAGGCCAGTGATGGCGAACCTATGACACACGTGTCAGAGGTGACACGTGAACTCATTTTTTTGGTTGATTTTTCTTTGTTAAATGGCATTTAAATATATAAAACAAATATCAAAAATATAAATCTTTGTTTTACTATGGTTGGAAATATCAAAAATTTTCTATATGTGACACGGCACCAGAGTTAAGTTAGGGTTTTTCAAAATGCTGACATGCCGAGCTCAAAAGGTTCGCCATCACTGTTATAGGCCTCAATAGTAATATGGTATTCAAAGGAAAAATACAACATAAAGTCTTAATCCATCATTTCAAAGTTCTGAAGACAAAATATATACATTTTTATTCAGTTTAAAAGGGAATGAATCAATGATCATAGGCATTTTACATTTCTATAGAAGGGTTGCTTACTTTAGATTAATGGGAAGGGAAAAAGAAAAATCCCAAACATGATGCTGTTACAAGTTCCTTCTAATAAATTGTGGAAAAAAAGAACTTAGAAAAAGATAAATAACTTCATGCTCAGCTATAAACTATCATATATAGTTAACTTTATTATTATTATTATTATTATTATTATTATTATTATTATTAAAGTCATGTAGCAAAGTATCTTCCTGCCTTCTAAACCCCAGAGCGAATATTAATATTGCATGTTAAAATATTTCCATCATACTGAGCCATCTTGCTATTTAAAATAATAACTTAAGATATATATATAAAGATAAGAACTCAAGCTACATGATAATTTTGTAGCCAAACACCTAACTTTAAAATTCTTTTAATGGCCACTTAACAAGTTACTTAAAAGTGAATGATCAGATTTCAAGCATTACAACTTCATGGCATTTTAAATCATTGTCATCCAAGTAAGTTCCAATCTGAAAAACTGCAAGAAGAAACATCCTGATTCACTTTTTAAAAATTTCTCAATGGAAAATTTCTATGAGCGATTTATGCATTTATACTTATAAGCAGTTACTCTATAGATTGTCCTTTCCATCTGGGTATTTGCAGGTAACCGTTATTTTGCAAATTTAAAGATTTGAATTCTGACATTAAATGACTTGATACATAAAATATATAGTAAGTAACATTGAATTGTATACCTATGTAAACCTGAGTTTAGTTCTTGCTCTCAATGGCTCTGTGCTGGACACAGAACTCGTTTGGGTGTAGTGTATGAGATGTGATTTAGGGTCCGCTCACTGAATAAAAGAAGAGTTACCTCTAGTGCTGAAATAAATCGAGGCTTTACTTGTGTCCCTTACCTTTGCCATGACTTCTCCCATCCTCCAAAAGCGGCACTACAATAGTGTTGTTCACATTTCCAGGTGATCGCACGGCTGTGTAGACAACAGGCACCGACTGTACCACCACGGGGATGCGGTGAACGTGACTCAGTTTGTTAGACTGTAAATTCATGGGACTTGACGGTGGTACAGGATGGATAATGTGCAAAAACTGCTGGCCTCCTACACCAGATGCCGAGGCAACAAGGGGCCCTGGAGTTAATACTGTTGACGAAGATGATGCTGAAGATACTGATGTTATAACAGTTGGGGAGGAGGCTGGACGACTAGAAGACGATGAAGAGGTTGAAGTTGAAGAAGGTGAGGAGGCAGACGCTGTCATGGAAACTGGGGAGGATGAAACGGCTGTGGGGGATGTCCTGGCTTTGTTGATAGACAAGTCCACTGGCTCAGTTTGTGTTTGGAAGTGATCTACAGATAACGAGTCCTCCGGGGGCTCCCCTTTCACATTATTTAACAACAGAGGAACAGCTTCCATATCGGGGTAGTTGTGGACGTTTGGAGACTGTGGGGAGAAAAAGGGAACACACATTTATCTTTGTTGGTCACACATTTTAATAGATGCAAGATTTTTACTGGAATGATTATTAATGTTTCTCTTATGGCTATGAGACATTAATCTGTTCCCCAAATATTTCAAGGATTGCTCTGAGCCAATTGTGATTAAAGTTGAGAGTAGAAAAGTACCAGACAGAGTAACACAGGCCTCTGCTATAAAGACACTTCCATCCTGTTGGGAGAGACAGGCAGAGCCGTTAAAATCCAGTGAAATAAGTGTGTTATGGAGGAGGAAGGAGGACATAGGAACCTAATAGTGAATAGCATTTTATAGAAAATGTTCTAAAAGACAAGTTCAGTATGTAAAGCATTACCTACTTAAAACTATAAATACAACCTATTTAATTAAAAACATTCATTTTGTTGGTTTTACCCATTCTTCATTTATGAGTCTCAATTTCCTCAGTTATAAACTAATGGAATTCTGATTAGATAACCGTAAACATCATTCCAGCTCTAGGTTCCACAATTTTACCATTTAACGCTTATCCAACATTATCATAATCTGGAGGCATAGTGTTACCTGGCAACGATACTGGGAAAACTTTCATGTTTGCTGAAAAAGATACCGTACAATTCTCATGAGCATTAATACAAATCATTTCTAACAATCAGATTATAACTTAGTGATGACAACATTTTTTCTCGAAATAATTTACACAACTACTAGAATATACCTTTCAGAAAATAATCATTTCAGGGAAAACATTTTTCCTGGAAATTTTAAATGGTCTATGACTATCTTGTTTAACTTAAGATAATGATAATAATTTGACCAAATTCAATTTAATTCTTTTAATGTTTTTTTAAAATGTTTTTATTGATTTGGGAGAGAGGAAGGGAGGAAGGGATGGAGAGGAAGGGGGTGGGGGGGGAGAGAGAGTGAGAGAGAAAGAATGAGTCTCATGGATGTTAGAGAGAAACATCAATGGGCTGCCTTTCATATGTGCCCCAACCAGGGATCAAACATGTGCCTTGACCGGGAATCGAATCCGCAACCTTTCATTGTATGGGCTGACAACCAACTGACCCACCTGGCCACGGCTCATTCTTTTAAGTTTTAATGAGCAAATTTTAATAATAATAATAATAAAAGACTCCAAGATTTTACCCAGACTAATGGATGCAGCATTTTATTCCTGGGCATTAATATAATTTATATACTCAATTACTCATAAATTCAACAAGTATTTATTGGATGCCTACTTCCGAGGCCCATGATGGCTCAAGCGTTCACTTGGCACGTGTCAGCCTTAACGGAGAGTTCTTAGCTAACTTGACCAGGCTAATATAGACATTATTGTTCTATTATATGAAAACCAAAAACTCTTTTCCAGCTTCATTTTGGTATCAGAACAACAATGCCTAAAGATATATTAAATTGGTACATTTCATTGTAAAAGATTTTGGTTTGCTATTTCCCAAAATACTTGAACATACATTTACAGGAACAAAACACGTTTCTTAAAATTTCCCTTTATAGAATATAAATTATACCTCCATTCAGAACATATAATAGGCATTGGTGTAAGGGAATTTTATCTTGCAACAATGGTACCAGATCAACTAAAAAGGGGAAATGAATTGATGTTTTATTGTTGTTGGGGTTTTTTTGATTCTAAGATAACATGATTACTGACCTACAGAAAGATAAAATTAAAAAATATAAAAATGAATCACCCAAAATATTTCCTGCATGAAATTCTAAATAACAAGATTTCATTTATGTGCTGAAACTGAGAAATAAGTTTTAATCTTCTCAGACATTAAGAAACAAAACAAAATATGAACACCATAAACAACTACTTTTATAAAAAGCTGTTATCATTATCCAGTGTTCTAACTAGAACATTTTTTCAATTGGTTCCCAGCATTATCACCTAATTTCTTTGCAGGACATTATGTTTCTCATTAGTATGTTATAGCCACATAGAAATCCTGTTATTTTATGAAAGGTTGCTTTCATAAAACATCTCAAATGATTTATCATTATAATTATAAAATCTGTCATTAAGCCTATGTTATCAAATACTTTTGACTTCAGATATAGGCTTGATTAAATTTTCTCTTTGTACTGTATTAAGACACTAGAGGCCCAATGCACAAAATCCGTGCATGGCACAGGGGGGAGAGGGGGAGGCGGGAAGGGTCCCCTCAACTCAGCCTGCATCCTGTCCTATCTGGGACCCCTTGGGGGATCCAGCCTAAACCAGCAGTCAGACATCCCTCTCACAATCCTGGACTACTGGCTCCTAATCGCTCACCTGCCTACCTGCCTGATCGCCCCTAACTGCCCCCCCTGCTGGCCTGGTCGCCCCTAACTGCCCCCCCGCTGCCAGCCAGGTTACCCCCAACTGCCCCGCCCAGCAAGCCTGGTTGCTCCTAACTGACCCCCCGCCAACCTGGTCACCCCTTACTGCCCCCCCTACTGACCTGTTTTCCCCCAACTGTCCACCTCTGCTGGCCTGGTTGCCTCTAACTACCCCCCTGCCAGCTGGGTCACACCTCACTGCCCCCCCGCCAGCCTAATCACCCCTACTGCCCCCCCCCCCACTGGCCTGGTCGCCCCCAACTGGACCCCTCTGCCAGACTGGTTACCCCTAACTGCCCTCCCCTGCTGGACTGGTTGCCCCCAACTGTCTCCCCCTGCTGGCCTAGTCGCTCCTCATGCCCCCCCCCCCCAGGCCTGGTCACCCCACACAGCCTGCTGTTCAGTCGTTTGGTTGTCCCTCATTAACCCCCCTGCCGGCCTGGTCACCCCACACAGCCTGTTGTTCAGTCGTTTGGTCATCCCTCATTAACCCCCCTGCCAGCCTGGTCATAGGCAGCCATCTTGTGAGGGTGTGAGGGTGAATTTGCATATTACCTCTTTATTATATAGGATATTCAAAATTCTAATTTTGGAAATAGTGACCACTTCCATCACACATTATTCTCCTCAAGTATCTACTTACACACAAGCTTCCTACATAGGTTTACAAACCAAGGGCTGGGATGTAATTCACCATTATAGAAACATTTCATAAAGTAAACAGAAGACTACTTTAGCAAATTATGGCGATACAGAAGGTGATACATACAGAGCTTCTTTGTAAAGAGATGGCTCCTAAGGCATCAAGCTTCCCTGAGCTTTGTAACTGGCTTAGAATTCCCCAGATTATGAATAGGAGTCCATCCTTTGAAGGTAGCTGCTTAGTCCCTCAACAGGAAAAATATTTACTCTTAAAGCTGTTTTACAACACCAGAAGAGTGTTTCTCTTATAATTCTGTTGTATATATTAGAAAGCTATGAAAACTGTACATTAATAACCCACAGGAGCTTTCAAAAACTTGAGCACTACATAGCTTTTGCATGAGCTTACACCAAAATGTATACAAAATGCTCATAAAAATTAGGAAGAGTACAGCAAACCTTTGAACTACAGATTATCTTATGTGGAACCTTAGACACATTGTGCATGAATATATAAGCATGAACATCAATAGGCACAGGCTGGCTCCTTTTACGTATGTAGCAATTGAAATGCAGCCAGCACGTCCAAAAATAACGCCTCATCAGCAGAAAGAGGACAAAATCCTTATTGTACCGTTCATCTATTTACAGTGTTGACATAATGTCATATCCTCACAGTCCATACTAATCGCTTCTACAGTGAAAACGTGAAAGACAAATCAACCCACAATTCCAGGTTTGGGCTGCACGTACACATACATAACGCCAGCAATACTGCAGAACTGTCGTTTCAAAACAGCTATGGCATACTCTTGCTCTTCCTTTTAGGAAAACGACCTGAGTGAGTTGATCCTCCAATCAGTATTAGGAATTCATTTCTTCAGAAAGTGGAACACTGAAATGGACTGGTTCTGAGGTTTGAATCCATGAATATGTAGCTACAGTGAGGTGACGGGGAACACAGGAGACAACCAAGAGAGAATGAAAGCTGAGAGAAACCAAGGGAAAACACCGAAAGGGAAATACATAGAACTTCCCTTTAACAGTTAGATAAAAGAACTATACATATTTGAGAAAGCGAGAAAAGTTATGGGTATGTTATCAGAAAACTAAGGGGTAGAGACACAGAAAAGACCAAAAAATAATAAGAAAAGTTGTAAGCTATAGCACAATGAGGAAGAGAAACTTCTGTAAAAAGAACAAATAAAGGATCCCATCCTAAAATTTTCCCTTTGTTATTAACTGGGCAATTCTTGATACAAGACTGATGAACTAGTGTCAACTAAATTTTGTTGCTTTTGCTGTTTGTTTTAAAGCTCATGAAGAGTTTTGCCTGGGAATAGTAACTTTAGCTGAGTTTTCACTGTTCATCACCCTGGTATGAAGGACATGATTCAACACTAAATTCAATATTATCTGGAAAAAACCCACACCTTTAAAGACACTAAGATTGTAAGAAAAGACTGGAATTTTGTCAAAGAGAATGAGAGTAATTTCATTTTTCAAAATATTATATATCACTTAAAAGGGTCTACAAGTAATTTTTTAAATAATGTGTCAAGAAATAATTGTGTAAATACACACAAAAGTGCATCAAGATAAACATAACAATAGACTTCATAAAAACATGTACATGAAAACCTAAAGATAAATAGAAACAAGATTATTTTGTCACATTATTACTTTCTCCAAAAGTCTTAAAGCCCCTTTTACTCACAAAATAAATCCTATCTAATAAAAGAGAAACATGGTAATTAGCATACAACAGCTACCCTTCCCATTGGCTAATCAGCGAGATATGCAAATTAACTGCCAGCCAAGATGGCGACCGGCAGCCAGGCAGCTTGAAACTAACATGAGGCTTGCTTGCTTCAGTGACGGAGGAAACCAACGTTCCCCGCCTGCCTTGCCGGCCTCAGAGCTTGCAGTTTGAAAAATAGTTACAAATATAGAAGCTAAACAAAACCCCAGAAACCAGCTTTCAGCGAGCTGGG